AGCGCAAAATGTATCCGTTTGTCAAAAATCATGTAAAATACAAATAATTGAATAAATCGTTGAATATTTTACTCAATAATTGGGTGTAATCTAAACAGGCGAAAAGCGAGGGGAAGCGTCGCGCGACGAAACTCGAGGGGAAAGGTCGCGCGGCGAGAAGCGAGGGGAAGGCTCGCGCGGCGAAAAGCGATGGGGAACGTGCCTATGTTGCTACGTCATCACTTCGGCATTCGCTCGGCGCTCGCTGAGGGAGACAGACGTGTAATACGGTGGCTACAGGTGTCGCGCACTAATCTACGAAAATTAGATATTCACGAATGCGAATTAATGATTAATTGCGTGCCCTAATAGTAATGTTGCTCAAAACTAAGGTGTGTATTAAGAATTATATCTCAATCTTTATTACTCTCTTTGATCATTTACATTGAAATAAAGATTAATAATAAGTTATATACGTTTTTTAAATAAAGATAAACGCAAACATTTTTTAAATTATAAAACAATTTCGACTAAATTTGATAATGGATACAAACAAAATTTATTTTATACATTTGCGGATATATAAATTAGAGATATTTAAGGGCGATATATACAGTCTGTTCTTATTTCAAGACTGTCTTAAGACGCTAATACGGCTCTATAATCTCTTCGTGATTTCTTAAAATTGTACTTAAGACATAATTGTACTGCAATTCGTTATCACTACGAAATAAAGTCAGAACAGATATTAAACTATATTAATTGTGAAAGAATTGTGAATTGCGTTATTTGCATGAGAATATTCATATTAGCATTAATTTTTTATGCCTCGTTTGATACCGTTCATACAGACAAGTAGCCGTGTCGCATACCGCTCTTCTTCATATTTCTTTTTGAAGCATAGAATAATCGCAAAAAGTGCTAGGTATAATACGAAATGTTGTATTTTATGAATATTCACATAATGATTCATACGATTACTATGATTAATTATTCATAAAGTACAACGTTTCGTATTATATTAGACATTCTTCGCGAAAAAGTAATGTGAAAAGGAGCCGCACGCGACACGGCTACTTGTCTGTATGAACGGTATCACACGAGGCATAAAAAATCAATGCTAATATGAATATTCTCATGCAAATAACGCAATTCACAATTTTTTCACAATTAATATAGTTTAATATCTGTTCTGACTTTATTTCGCAATGATAATGAATTGCAGACGTGTGTGTTTGATGTTCGTTGCTAAAAGTTAACCGATTGCATAATAATTGTATAGTAATATAGGTAATAGCTATATATTATATTTTTCAGATTATCTTCCCTCTTACGGGTACATTTTGTGATGGCAGGACTCAGTACTCAGAGGATGTTTACAAGAAAAGAACGATTTTTTTCAAATGTTTCTCAAAATTTTCGGATATATCTGAAAGTATCTATATAAATTTTTAGATATTGAATAAAATCGTTCTCTTCGTGTAAAAATCCTCTGGAGAAGCTAACGTACCCTCGTCGCCGATTTGAAAAGTAAACGAACCACAGCCGGTTCGTCGCGTCACGCGTTTCGGGAGTGCCGTTCAAGTTATTGGACTCAAGTAATAGTCCGCGCCCAAGTACAGTGCATTATTCGCGAGTGTTTAGGCGAGTGTCCTGTGTATATTCTGAGAGGAGGCGGAGGTCTGAGAGAGGCATCGGGCACCGGTGGAGCAACCTTGCGGTAAATATTATTTTTTACTTATGTAAAATTAACCTTTTTTTTGCTTGTTTTTAAGTCATTTTATTTAACAGTGATTTAAAAAATGATTGTTTTTAAATCATTGTTAAATATGTAAAATGATTTAAATAATTTTATATTCTATAAAATAATTATATAAAATACTTCTATATTCTCTAAAGTAATTATATGTATTTTCTTAAATAATTATATATATTTTGTAAAGAAGATCTTAGCGAAAATAAATTTGTATAACATTTTTAGATAAAATAATTATACATTATATTTTCTATAATAATAATTATGTCTATTCTAAAACAAAAATAAGAAAGAACATACGGCCACGTACGCATGTTATTATTCACATAAGTCATATATTTAAAATAAAATTACATGTAAACGTTTCGGTGAAGTTGTGACTATCATTAGCACAATCAAGAGAATGCAAATGTTAAAAAATATAATTTAGCACATTAGGATGTCGCAATACAAAATTCCAAAAATTAATCCTGCCTTCGTAATCTCTTTTACAGTGAAATTAAGAATTTATTCTTGATAACTTGTATATTAAAACGCGGGATTACCAGAATCCGTGTTTTTATAACTATCAATATAATACAATAATGCGACGCTAATTTGTTCGAAGAATATTAGCGTATAGAGATGGAAAAATATTATATAAGATGGTAAAACTATTCTGTACGAAATTTCATATAATCACAGTGACCCGTGTTTCAACATACAAGTTATAAATATCAAGAATAAATTCTTAATTTCATTGCAAAAGAGATTATAAAGAGACAGGATTAATTTTTGGAATTTTTTACTGCGACATCCTAATGTGCTAAATTATATTTTTTAACATTTGCATACTCCGGACTATACTGACGATGATCCGATTTGACCGAAACGTTTAAATGTAATTATATTTTAAATATATGACTTGTGCGAATAATAATTTGTGTATGTGGCTGTATGCTCTTTCTTATTTTTGTTTTATGTTATCACCTCTAACTTTGTTTAATTTTATTTATATATATTCTTTAAAAAACTTTTAGCAAAAATAAATTTGTATAAAATTTTTAAGTAATTTAAATACTTTGAAATTATAATACTTTAAAATTTTGTACAAATTTATTTATTGCTAAGATCTTTAGAGTATATATTGTATATAGAGAAAAGCCGCCGATACTAACATAGGATACTAATATAGGATCTCCTAAAGCGACACTCCTTATTTCTCAGAAATTAACTATTGCACTTTATTAATAAAATCATGATCTGTTTAGCCAATTAAAGAAGTACAAACTCATAATTTTTATATTTATGGCTTATTTCTATACCAAATTAACTAAAAATGAATTCTACGATTGTGAAAATAAAATTCTTACAATTTTTTTTTGTAAATTGCGTAATTTAAATAACAGTGACTATATTATTGATAATATTACGTTATTCTAAATGCTTGTAGTTTCTTAAATCAGTTTTATTTTTTTTTTCTTAGTTTTTTCATAATATGATTTTAAATATAAAATTAGGGTGCAGTGTAAACCGCCATACCTGTCTGTAAAACAGATCATGAGCTAACTTAATCTTTATAATGTTACTTCATAATGTCAGATAGCTCTATTGGAGCTAAAGACAATCGTTCATATATAGAATAATTCTTGAAAAACTATCGCGTTATATACTATATTTGCATCTTGCAGAACAGCATGAAATAAATATGCATATAATTCAATAAAAATATTTTATAACGAAGAGAGAGAGAGTGAAGAGATTCTAGAATATCTTATATATATTCACTTGTAGGTACTCTATACAGATAATTCTTGTAAAAGAAAAAAAATAGGAATACATAACACTATTGCCACTGTGTCCATTTTGTCAGACGCTTATTTTTGCTTACTTGAAAAAATTAATTATTGCTAAATTGCAAACAATATTATAAAAACAGCTTATACTATCTGATGGAAAACACTTTTTAGTTTGTACTTATGTTTTTAAAGTTTTATTTGTACCTTTTGTTTTAGAAATATTATATCTAAAAACAAATATGATATGTTGGTATCGGTGACTCGTCTAATTATTTTAGAATATATATATATAATTATTTTAGAGAATATACAATTGTTTTATATCTAATTAAATAATGAGTATAAAACTTTGATGCTTACAAAAATTATATTTGTAAAATTGCATAATTATTTTTCAGCAAACTGCATGCGTTTATATAGCAATTATTTTTTAAAGTAATGATTATAGTTATTTCTTTACTCTGTTTTAATTTGGATTTTAATTTATTTGTTACAGAATCATGTACCGACATTGCAGATATATTATAACTCCACTGTTGCGCATCGAGTCGGTGAGTAATGAATCAACATTTGTATTAGGGTAATGGATGTATAATAATTTTATTAGTATATTATGTACATACCTGAATACATGTATGCATGGATTTAATAACAATATACGGACAAATGTATAGCATTGCATATATCCGTTTCCTTAAAATGAGCAAGTTAAAACTGATTAGGATAAAGTTATGTATGCCCGATTCTCTAGCGAATTTTATTTAATTTCTAAAGATTAGGGTTAGAAAATAGAGTAATTTTAGAAAACTAAATTTGAAGGGGAAATTAAGGGATAATTTTTATCATTTCGTCTTCAGCAAACTCAACAGCTGTTATTAGTGTATTCCTTTAGATCACCCAATCAGCATTTTAGATCTGGAAGAATACATCAATAACAAACGAGCGCTCACTCAACTGTTTAGTCCGCTGACGCAGCCATTTGGTCTGTTCGATTTGCTTACACTTTTTTACATTTTTTACATTTAAAATGAGATAGATATATATTTGGCATTGAAAAGAGAGAAAGAGAAGATGCTGAATGTAAAAAGTGTAAGCAAGTCGAACAGACTTATTGATATTATATTGAATAAATATTTATTCATTGTTACAGTACAAAAATATAATAAATTAGAAAATAAAGTTGTTAAACTGTAAAAATTTATATAATTGCTTTTTATTTCCGAATGCCAAATAGAATAGAATAAAAAATTGTGAAAATGGCACAAAACAAAACGGTTGAAAAATAACATATTACCATCAGAAATATTCCGGTTAATTTGGCTATGTAGTTCATGTTCATATTTTGTGCACATGAAGGCGCTTTTTCTGACAAAGTGGAGGTTAACCTCCAATAACCTTTGCTAATTACAACGAGTGCGCGAAATAGAAAAGTTATTTGTAATATTTTAAGGTACTCATAATTGCTAATTATTTTACCACGTTATCAGATATTTGGTCTCCTGAATACATAAAACGAATAACACTGCGACGATGTCAACAACCAACAAACAAATGACTGAGAAAAAGAAATTGAAAAAGATGAGGTAAGTCCTGTTGCAAATATCGGAAATGGATAAATTGCCTTTTTCATTTGGATTGAATTTTTCCTTAAGCAAGGAGCAGATGCAGCTGGCTATAATAAAAAAGAAACAGTGCGATGCGAAAGCTCTTACGATAGTTATGCAGCTTCTGGAATCGCATGTGGATCCTGACTGGCTCCTGCAAAATGTAAGTGTGCTAACAAATATTGTCTCTCATTTGAGTAGTTCGAGTATTCAACTGGATCTCAATAATTTAGCATGATTTTATTGCTCTTATAGCTAGGATTCATAAGTAAGAACCATATGGAAGATGTGATAGAGGAGAGAGCAATAGTAAAGCTATGTGGATATGTTCTCTGTTCAAATCAGTTGACTGTCATTATCCGGCAACAGTATCACATATCAATACGTAAGAATAAAGTGTATGATGTCAGCAAACGGAAAAACTTCTGCAGTTCGTTGTGCTACGGGGCGGCTAATTTTCTTCTTGAACAAATGCTCGAGAGTCCCCTCTGGTTAAGAGAGAAAGAGGATATACCAGTCTTTCAAATTTTACCTGTCAATTCTAAGTCTACGTGTGGAGAGGAAATTGACGTTGTTGGAATTAACTTCTCACAAAATAAAGATGTAGACAATAATGACGACATTAGAAGATCTACAGAACATACTGATGAGTCAATCAAGCAGACAGAAAATGATACAAGTAATGTATCAAGTCCTGAGAAACAAACTATATGTAATTCCTATTTGTTAAAGAATGTAGCAATCATGAAAGATGGTAAACTGGAAGAGACTTCAGTACATACTAATAATGTACAAAAATCGTTTAATTATGAAACATGTTCATCGGAACTGCACATGAATCAAGAAAGCGAAAATTGTGATTCTGATAAATTTACAAATTGTGAAAGTAATTATGATAACAATAATATCCAACAAGTAGATGTAAATCTAGAGAATTTAGAAATAGAAATTGCTGGCCAATCTGGGAATATTTTACATTTGCATAAACACAACAGGGATACAGAAAATAAAACTAATGTAGATATATTTTATAATGAAATATTGCAGTCTCAATTGGATGAAGTAAGTTACAATGAAAATGACATTAGTGAAAAGTTACAGCCTCAAACGTCTCAATCAGTCGAAATAAGTAACAAGAATGATGAAAATGAAACGAAATTAGAACCTCAGATAGATGAAGTAAATAATAGTCTTACTGATAAAAAAATGAAACAATCCCAATTTAATAAAATGTATAAGAGTAATACCGTTATTTCTTCTGCATCTACATGTGATGAATATAGGAAAATAGGAGAGACAAGTAGAATTAATAAAAGTAAAAGGTACAGACTGAAAAAAACTGATAATGCAGAAGTACAAAATAATATTTATCTCCAAGTTGCAATTCATGTTGAACAGAGTATTAAAGAATGGATTACAAAAAATACCCTTTGCCTTTTAATGGGCGAGGAGAATGAAAGAAATCAGTTATTAGAAAAATTTACACAGTATGATAAGTATCAACAGTTGTGTAAAAAGTTAAACAAGTTGCAAATGGAAGATGAAAATGAAGAGCGTGATTTGAAGAAAAACGAGCTTAAACCTTTACCCCACTTCTCCGTGCTCCAAGAGGATGGAAAGAAAATGGATCTAAAGGTATGATCTAATATTAATATTAATTTAAAAACAAAATGTATCAACTAATTGTAACATGTGTATACAGGTGCGTGCGTTTTACCAAGGTCAAATGAAAATTGCACCATCTGATAGTAATGAAGAATCAGAAAGTAAAGATAATGTTGAACCTATATTACCATTAACAGACGCTTACACGCCTAATGCACTTCGTCACCGAATTTTCTTGGACAATCTTAATAAAATGTAATAATTTTTCCATTTCTGAGCGATAATTAGAAATCAAGTGTTAAAAAAGTTTGGTATCTGAAATTCAATCGTTATAGATATTAATGTATTTGTTAATTACAGATTGCCAGATTTGATGTGCGCTTTAACAACCAATGCTAATATTTCTTCATTGGCACAATGTACTTATAATAACGAAAAATACTCACTAATCAAGATTTTGACAAGTACTTTTAATTTATCTGCTAGAAATATTGTCTTTAAAACCGCTGAATGGACACTTGTGGGACTCATCATCATTAAAATGTAAGTTTAATTGCAATGTCTAATCTAAATATAAAATTAATTCTAAAAATACTTATATTATAAAAAATAAATATAATTACAGGTTGAGCTTGATTGATACACAATTGCAATTGTTGCTCCGATCTAAGCAAGCTTCGATGTACACGTCTATGATTCTGACAACATACAAATTAGATTCTAATTATTTAGATAGACTTATAATGGAAATAACAAACAATGTAGATGTATCTAAATCAAATGATAAACAATGCTAAATAAAAATTAAAACATAGTTTATTAATATTAAAATTAGTTTATTAATATTAAAATTACTTTTATAATTTTAATTTTATTCTTACATTTAATTTAATATAAAATCTTTTGAAAAGATATATTGATTACAAAAATATCGCAATGATATTTTAGGTTATCTAAATGTTTTTTTACAATAATTTTACACCTATTTTATAACTGCATTTTTTATGTATATACTTTATTAAAAAGTATTGTAGCATAAATAAAAGATTTCTTCAAAAATCATAAATATATATAAGACAAAAAATTAAATTAGATGTATAAAAATTTAATTAATTAATTAAATTTAATTAATTAAATTAGAAGATATATATCAATGATAGTACACATCACAGTATGACTCTTCACCACTCTTTCTTGTACTCGTAAACTGAGGAAGCTCAAATCACTTTTTTTGGTCTTGAATTAGATATTATTAAAGTGTGCTCGATGTGGCATGCGTGCTTGATGGTGGCATTCCAGTAAATACAGAAGGAGAACAATCTAGACTTAACGGATCCATTTGAGCTGTTACTGCTAATTGATCGTCTGTAGCATGATTACCAACTTTGTCACGTAGAGATTCGTAAAGACTGTGGACTGCTTCGTTATGCTGTAAATTTAAAAACATTAAATCAATCATTTAACAGTGGGATATCATTTGGCTCTGTGCAAGAGCGACGAATTCGTAATCGATAGGTCGCGAGTTCAAATTCCACATTTCGTATATGCGAAAAAATTTCATAATCGTAATCCAACAATTTAAGATTACTGTAATACATATATAATAAAAACAGAGTATCTTTAAACTCAGTTATTCCATCTAATAAATATATAACGAACTTTTTCTGAATATTATAAAATATTACCTGACTTGTTGGTTGTAAGGCTTTCAATAATGAATGTAATCGTGTGGATGGCAATTTAGGATGTATGTACCAAAGTAATTTTAACAGATGTCGTGTGACATTGTCCCTTCCTAAGCCGGCTAAGAAGAATTCGTCAAAAATTACTGTACAAAATGATTCGTTTGAAAATTCGTCAGCCATGTTTAATATTAATAACGAAACCTGCAATTGAAAATCAACTTTATCAAAAATTTGTAATTGATATTTAATTTCAATTGTGATAAATAACGATGTCGCTCGATAATAAGATAATACAAACAAATATGTTACCAGAGTGTGTAAAAATGGATCTTCAAAAGCTCGTTGTGCTTGACAGTTTGGCAATGTTGCTAGGACTCTCATCAAACCTCTAGCATCTCCCCTGCCTCTTCCAACCCCACCGCCACCTCCTACGTGCAATGCATAATACATGGAGAGAACTGCTGCTACTCCAGAAAGCTGAGCGTATGCTTGGCACGCATCGGGAGGTGGTCCAGAATGTTCTATAATTGCGATTGCACTTTCCCTTTCATCGGGTGGAAGTCTACAGTTGAGTTGTCTTATTTGATCATCAACCTAAGAAATCATTATTTTTATATATCAATATTTTTATATTTTTCTTCAAGTATCATACTAGCCCCAGAAACTTAGATTTTTTTGGAGGTAGAATTGCCATAAAAGATTTGTTTGCGAGTTGTTCGAAATGATTATATTAAAGTCATACTAAAAGGCCTGACCACAATGGACTTGGAAAACTTTCAAAAACTGATCAAAAAATGATCAAAAATGCAGTTTTTAAAAAATATCTCAGAAAGTATACATTTTATCGAAAGATAATTATCAAAATGAAAACTAATAAAATTGCGAACAATTTCGTTTTTTTGTCTTAAGATCTTACAATTAATATTTTATTATATAATAATTTTCGTCATAGAATTTTTTTAAGAATGTTTTTGATTATTTCGAGACTAAAATGATTTTTCATACTTTTTTCGTAAGTATCTTGGATCTGGCTACTTTTACGTACACTGTACAAAATACTTCTTATAAATATTGAAGATTACTAAATTCAAATTACTGGATTTATATTTTCACCAGCATGTAGATGCCTCCCTTTCATATATCTTTGCATGCACACTGATAACAAGATATATGGGGACCTACAGTTTAAACGCAGATTTCGAACGGCAATTTTTAATAGAAAGTTTCCTAAGAAAGTATACTACTTGATGGTTTGCCATTGTCTTCCGAGAGAAGCTACGAGTGCACGAAAATTTTCTGCCGAAGATCCTGAGATCTCTAGGGCTATATTCAGCTATATTCAGATTCCTACCAAAGTATCATTCCATTCTTATTGCTTACTGAACATTACACAACAAGGATGATACGACACCTGGATGGGAATCTGAACATGTCCTAGAATAGTAGACCAATGCACAGTCTACTACATCCTTCTTTTTTTATATTATATTAAATTATAAACTATACAAACATTTTAATTATTTCATATAAATTACCATGAGTGACATAAGTGCTGGCAGGAACTTTGTGACAACTTGACTGTCCAGTTTTGGTTCCTTAAAGTCTTGCGAATCAATCATTTGCCAAGCAGACAGTCCTAGCGCGAGCATTCTTAACAATAATACGAGCACTGCATTTTCTCTGGGTAATGCCTCACAATTTATCAAATGAAGCGCTATTTTGATTGCACTGCTAGCGAGAAAATTCACTGCATAGGGATCGCACAAAATCATACTTAGATCCCCTAACACCTGTTCCTGTCCTCTCTATACAAAAGTACAAATCAATATCTCGTTACGCAAATAATGTTATGAAACACGATTTTAATTCAATTTACCTTAATACTGTCCAAAAAGCCTTGTAATTCACGAGATCTTTTAATATCCACATTTTTTTCTCTGATGCATGCGTCCAGACACCATGTAAACTTATGACATGGATCTACAGAAATAATATCTTGCACCTGGCAACAAATAGCATACTCAATAAAATTGAAGCGATTCAAATTAAGTTATATATCAAGTTATGTTAGAATGTTGTATAGCTCCTATGTAGAAGTAATGAACTTATAATTGTCTTGAATTCGATTGCTCTTACATACAGATTTCAATCTTCAAACAATAACAATAAAAAAAACGATCCTCCAGAATAAAAATTGAATTAGATTTAAAACTTCTTTGCTGGAGAGAGGTTTACAACGTCATTTTAATGCAATTTGAAAATTTTGATACCTCTTTGAGCTGACAAAATAAAATAAACAAACATGTTGAATATATTTACCTCTAAATCATGTAACGCCATTAACAGTTCTGCTCTGAGAGTACAGTAGTGGATATTCTTTGTGCGTAAAAATAAAGTCCTTAAAAACTGCAGTACCATATCATATAATTTTACACTATGTCCAATCATATGAGCTAACTTCTGTACAACTTCGCCTTGTCTCCTCACCTATGCAAAATGAGAGAATTATACAATGTTAATTCAAGTACAACCAATTATAATATACCTTTGGAGATGGCATAAAAAATAGACTGTTCAAATTGCGATGATCAAATAGAATCTGTTCTTTCTCAATAATATAACGACTGAACAATGGCGAGACTTCATCACCAAAAAGACTTTGATTATCCTTCCATATCTGACGTTTTACTTCTGTATCGGCATCATTGTACAATTCTCTTTCCCTAACTAATACTCGCAAGTATTTGTCATCAATGTGTAAGGTATTCTTTAGGATACACATAACTACAGGTCGCAAAGCGTTAACTCTGACAGCAGGAAAACTTTTCGATAACAATTCCTTCATTCTCTTGTCTCCAGAGGAACCTTTGTCTGCCCTTTCCACGCCGATCTCATCAATTTGTTTTATTAGTTTCTCCCGTAACTCCTCGAGAACGGAGGCATGGAAATCTAGCCTTCTGACTCCATGCAGATCGAGCAGAGGTAACATAGGCCGTAATGATGGTAGTAATATGCCATTTTCCAACTAAAATGAAACATTATTGCTATGTAAAATGCTGTATATTTACTAACTTATGCTATACTCGATGCCGTTGTTCTTTGATTGATCTTTTACCTGAAATCCCTCGATAGCTTTCAATGGATCTGTACAACTTGTTAAAGCATCTCTCAAATACACTTGTCCTGGTATACTAAGATCCTCCAGTCCGTTGCCAGTCTCACCGTTACTTTTCGCCGAATTCATGACTCCGTTTTATTACACAGTATAAATGCCGTGCACTCGATTACGTATTTATGTTATATCGTAGATTGAAATAAATCTATTATTTTCTTACAAGATAAATTTTATAATTCAAACTCGTTACTTGCCATTAACAGTATTTATAAATTGCTTGATATTTTTCTCACATTATCAATCCCTTGAGAATATTAGAATTACTCTAAAACCTATCTGGCCATGTGGCTGTCCGTAAACTAAAGTGCCGTAAACTAACTAAAAGTGCATTCACATAGAAGCGTCAAGCAGCGAGAGCAGCAACCAATCAACAAGGCGATTTTTACAGTGACGTAAAAAATATTTTTTACACTACTGCCCGTATCGCCCAGCTGATTGGTTGCTACTTCTGTTGCTTGACGCTTGCATGTGAATGCACCTTAATAGATCTGTTTTCTGTGGCTAAGCAATGTACAATACAGTGCATTAATTCGCTGGGTCATAATAACGGTTCGACTTACTGAAAATAAAAAAATGCAATACTAAAAAGTTGATAAAAAATTCTAAAAAAATTCTTAGAGTTCTATGAGAAGAAAATAAATAATTTTTGTCTGTTGCAGTTTTTCTGTAAAGTTGATAGTATTTGAGTAAAAAAAAAATATATATATATATA